TGTGTATCTGGGGGGGGGGTGCGCTACCCGCCTGGCTCCAGGCGGTGGTCGGGCTGCAGCTGTGTTGAGGGTGCCTCTGGGCTGGCCCAGGGGAGCGGCCCTCAGGAATCCAGAGCACCCTCCCTGCGGGCGGGGTCCTGAGTCAGCAGCAGCAGCACGGGGCTGTGTGGGCGGCAGTTCATCAAGGCGGGCAGCGGGTGAGCTCTGCGGGCAGAGTCTCCGGTCCTTTGTTCCCGGCCCCCACCCTTTGGCACGGTTTCCCTGGGGATTTCTCTTCCTGGAGCCTGAGTTAAGTACACAGGCAGACGGTAGGTCAGATGCCAACAAGCCGACTCCAGGCTACGCACCGCCTGCCTCGTGGACGGCGCAGGACATGGGGCTCGGCGCCCTGAGCCCTCGGTGGGCCTGGACATTGGACTCTTAACTTCTGTTCTACACTGGACGTCTGCTTTACCCGCTCCCAGGGAGTGAAAGCATTTTAGCATCTTCCACAACAAATGCTCAGCCGCTTAGGAAGGGAGTGGGGGCTGACAGCTGTGCTGAGCAGCAAGTTCAGTCCAGGGGCGAAGGGCTTGCCCACGTGGTGACAGGGAACCATGCATCACTCCAGGGGTGGTGGATGCGTTATATGCTCATGCGTGTACCTATACATACGCACACATACACACATGCACACGTGTGTGCACACACACAGACACACAGGATCGCTCAGTCTTTGCACACATACACACATGCATGTACATGCACATGCGTGCACACACGTGCACACATACCCCAACGCACAAGATCGCTCTGGATATGCTGCACACACACAGACACACAGGATCGCTCCAGTCTGCACAGACCCCTGGCTCTGGGCCCAGCACAGCTTCTCTTGCTCCTTCTGCCTGCTGGGGGCGGGAGCGCCCGGAGGCCAGGCTCCGCCGCCCACTTCACCTGCTGCTCCAGCTCTCATCATCAGCCCCATGTCCAGGAGACACAGAACAAGCCCTTGCTGATGGATCAGGCAGTGCACCTGGGGTCCAGCGAGGACTCACGAGCCAGGCCATGTGCTGGGCCGGTTGCACGAATTCCCTCGCCCCCTCCCAGAGCTGCCTTGTGGGGCAGGTGTTGGCAGGCGAGGAAACCAACCTCGGGCAGTTTACTTGCCCAGGGCCACACAGCCAGCCTGGCAACGTCCAGGCTCCCCGCTCCTGCTTTGGGTTGCCCTTCGGACACTGCACAGAAATGGCAGGCATTATCTGGCTCGTTTCTGAGCATCCTGAGGGGGTGGGCGCTGGGAGGGGGCATCAGCGCAGCTTCTCGCCCGCTCACTGCCCTCGTGACTTGTGGGAGTCCTGACTCCCAGCCCCGCCTGTTTCTGTGGTTTTTGAACCATGTCCCTGGAATATCTGGGCTGGGAGATGTGCTTCAGTGGTCCTGCAAACGTCCTCTTCCATTTAATTTTGAAAAATAGATTTTGCCTGTTTGAAAGCCAAAGGAAAGAGCAGAGCCCTCGAAGGCAGCGGCTTGGGCTGCGAGCTCACAGTCCTTTCCAAAATGTGCTTTCTCCTAGTCCCTGTATTTGAAGTTGAACTTGTCCTCTGCCCTGATCCTGTGGAGGCCCCGGCCCATCAAGGCACACAGGCCTGGGCATCCCATGGGCGTGCTCCGGCCCAAAGCCCAGGGCCCTGCTGGGGCAGACACCCGTCCACGCGGGGCCCTCCCTGGTGAGGGCTGAGCCCGGCACCACGCGCGCCGCTGACACCCTGTCATGGGGCATCACGCGAGCGCCGCCGGAGCGTTTCCTCACCGCACTAGGACGTGCAGGGCGGAGTCACCGTGAACTTAGAGACAGGGACATTTGCTTCCTAACACAGGTGGTGATTTTCATCATTTTCTATTTTCAGATTATTTTCTAACTTGTCCTTGAAGTTAGAAATAGATTATTGGTTAAAAACTGAGAATATTTTTAAAAATCGAAAATGGATATGAAAGATCGACCAGACTCCGGATCAGCAACAAACCACGCCTCACGGCCGACTTGCTCCTTGTGTCCCTGCTGCCGTGAGCAGGACGAGAAACAAGGAATAAGTTACAACGAGGGCTCACCTTCCAAGGAGAGCAAGTCACCGAAGTCCTCGCTAGTTGATGAAATTTTGGAAAACAGCTTTATGGGTCCCGCCAGTATGAAATGCCGTTTGGAACTATCAGGTCAGAAGAGAACTCTAGAGGGCAGGGACGAGGCTCCAGGTTTTTCGGCATAAACTGAAGAGCTCAGAGTTACAAGGAATGTGTGTGCAGTTGATCTTTGAACAACGTGGGGGCTAGAGGCAGGCACGACCCCCACTCTGCACAGCAGAAAATCCACCTGCACCTTTGACTCCCCCAGACTTAACTTCCCGTAGCTCGGTGTTGACCAGAAGCCTTAGTGATAACACCACAGTCGACTTGCACCCACTCTGTGTGTGTATCATATGCCGTATCCTTACCATAAGGTAAGCTAGAGACAAGAAGATGGTATTGAGAAAGTCATGAAAAAATACATTTATAGTACATATACATGTTTATTGAAAGAATCTGCGTGCAAGTGGACAGACGGATCAAAGCCGCGTTGTTCAAGGCTCAGCCTTATGCACAACGCTCAAGTGCACAGTTAGAATGTCGCTCAAAGTCAGGCCAACACACGGTGTGTGCCACAGACCCCACGAGGCCGAGGCTGATCCCACATCAGGCCGCCCACATCTCAGCAGGTCTGCGGACGCGCAGATGGTGCTGGCGTCACCCAGCGGGCAAGGCTGGCCGTCGTCTGGGCGCTCCCTCCTGCTGCGTAGCCCCCTGTCCGCCTGCAGACCCAGGGCAGGTTCCTCCACCCCCTCCCCTTGTCCTTCTGAAACCCCAGGGAGGCCACCTGCCCTGTTCTCCGTCCCCCTGTGCTGAGAAGCCACGACAGTGTCTTTATACTGCGCTGACACGTCACCGCCCTGACGAAAGTGGCCTCACACTGGACTCAGGGCAAACCCCTCCCCTGGCCCGGACACCTGGGGCCTGGCTCCCGCCCGCCTCACCAGCCCCGCCCTGCGGAGTCCCCGCCGGTCCCGTCCCCAGAGCGTGGGGTCCGCACCTGCGTGCCCTGCACCTTCCCTCGCATCCTCCACCTGGACCTCGAGCCTCACCTCCTGGGGGTGAGCGCTCCGGCCACGAGTCCCACAGGGGGGCCGCAGCCGCCACCCCGGTGACCTCCTCCCAGCATCCCCTCCGCTCCCTCTTGGCGCCGCTGGCTTCTGTGTTCGCTTGCTTCTTTCCCGTCCACCTGCCCCCGTGAACTGTGCGCTCTGCCAGGGCTGCGAAGGGCCAGTCCTGTTGGCACTGTGCCCCCAGCGCCTGCTCCGTAAGAAGTGCCGTCTCATCGCAGCCCAGGGCGTATCTTTATTGCCTGCGGTTCGCCGGTGTTTTCTGTTCCCTTCTGTTCTATTGCATTTCATTTTCTCAGAAAGCTACTCTGCCCCAGCAAGCTCTGTAACTCACTCGTGGCATCGGAACACGTTGTGGTGATGCAGCCACAGAACGATGCTCACTGTTCCCGACTCGTTCCTATAGGGTCATATA